ATCTACTATATGAAAGTCGTGTAGAATTACCTCTTGGCCTATGCCTTAAATGTTTATTTTATTATTTTTCTGAATATCACGAAGGATGTCTGCACCAGTGTCAATTAAGAATACAAGTTTTCTGTTGGTTTCTGTATTTGTAAAGTTTATAAATATATTAAGACTAAGATTGATGGTGTGAACATTGTGGTTTACTGTTGAGTATCTGAAGGGTGAGAGTTTCCCCGAATTATTCTGGGCAATTCCTCACAGAATTATTTGTATTATTGTTATTGTGGCCTCGATTTGAGTTGCCACGGCCTCTTTGTTTCCTCTATATCGGCCTCGTCCATTACTGTAATAGTTGGAACTGCTGTAGTTGTTGTAATTATTATTACGACTACGATAGTTTCCTCTGAAGTTTCCACGTCCGCGGTTTCCACCACGCTGTGTATAATTTTTAAAATAAAGGACAGTATTAGGTTGTCCAGTTGCTTCCGTGCAACTGTTGACGAACTGGGATATGGCATCATTCATTGTGTTGAAGGTGCCAGCCTGCATGATGAGTTTTACCTTAAAAATTGCGCAGTTCTTAGTCATTGCCTTGACAGCATGCTGAAAGGTTTAATTCCTTGCTAATTCTAGTGATAGTCCGTCTGATATATGTGCTCCTTATAAGGCTTTCGTCATCTGCTTAACCTCTTGTGTGTATTGGTTTGCAGTTTTGTTGCTTCTGTAGGGTTCATCAGTTTTTGCTGACAATACTTTTACAGTTTCTCCCTTTGACGTTGCCTTTTAGTCTAGAAATCACCTCGGAAATTGTTGTTTCGTTTCCTATTAGATTTCTAGCGGCACCCTTTAGTTTTGTTTTTATTATGGAGACTGCGAGTTGTTCGCTCTCGCCCTTTATTGACTCTTGTTAGATTTTCCTTTTTACCATCGAAAACTGGTATCAGCTTGGATGCTGTATTTATGAAATCAATATTGGATTGTGCCATTGTGATAAGGTTGCTTGTCTCGCTAGGAGTATCACAATCTGTGCAACTATCTCGATCTGTGTATACCGCTGGAATAGTAAGATTATTTTAATCTTCCTCTTCTATTTTAGAGTTTACCTCTTCTAATTTTAATTCGTTCGTTTCAGCTGATTCTGCGTCAGGTGCAGTGTCTACTGCTATGGGAGTGTTTAGAGCATTCGGTATTACTATTTCTAAACCGAATATTTCTTTAACCGATATTAACCGATATTAGATCGTAGTCGTATCAGAAGTTTAGATACCTGAGACAAATGATCTTGATTCAATCTCTCCCTGTGACCATGTATTAGTATTCGCGCTTCGTTAAAGTTCTCTACTAATATCTCAACATGTTTTCTGACTGTGATCTTCTGGATTGGTCTATTCTGGGTTAGTGACTTATACGATTTGTCAAAATTAGCTTTGCTATTGTTTATTTCTTTGTATAATTCATTCCAATCCATTATATCATGGGCATTGTACTTAGTTTAGGCTTTTTTTTTTAAATTATTTTTGTATACAATTATTTTTATTTTTATTTTTTTTATTACATATATGTTGTATATTTAAACAATGTTGCTTATATTTTATCCAGGTCATTAGTCCGACTCTTATATCTTTTCTTTAAACATCTATTATGCAGCTTATATATTTTATAAAATAAATTTGCGAACATTATGACAACAATGATTATTAAAAGTACATGTACCCAATATAAATCAATATTTTCGATTCTACTTTGTTTATGACATTGGCAGTGGAATGCACAGTTTTTATATTAAAAGTCATTTTTGTAGGTGGTACATATACCTTTATGTTATAATTTGGAATATAATTATTATTGTTTTCTTTTGAGGATTTGCTTATTGCATTACCTCTCATCTATCTTTACAGGTGGCCCTGGACAGTCGGCGGGGCAGCGGTCCTTCCTCCTCGGTATTTTCTTAGGTGATGGAGGTTTAGTATTTTTTTGGTTTATTAATTTTGTAACTGGGTGAGTTTTGATTGGTATCTTGGGCTTTTTTATACTTGACTTTAGAAAGTCAATTTCACTTTGCAGCTTTACAGCTGTGGCCCATGGCGGGGGTGGTATGTTTGTATATAATAGCCACTTCAAGTGCGCTATTCTTTTTTGTATTTTATTTTTAACACTAGCCCGCCCCATCACACTCTACTCAATCAGATTTAAATTTTTTGTTTGATATATTCCGAAGATTGCAGGATCGCAGGACCCACACGCCATAACACCTCCTATTCAACTCCGAGCTCTCCCGGTCGGTCCATTGACAGCCTTGTGGTATCCCAAGTCCAGCGTGAATGAGTTACGTTAATATCCTGGGGCACAAAATATAATATATTTATTCTCCAGATTTCTCGATTCCTTCTGCTTCTTCTTCTTGTTAAACTGGTTTTTCTTGATGGCTCGCTTGTTGATTTTCTTTTGGGATCCAACAGGCAGCGCGCACGTCCTGTCATCTTCGGGTCCTGTCACGGTCGCCATGAAATATATAACAAATCCGTCATACTTTGATTATTCTTTATTTATTGTTAAGGGAGCAGCAGTGATGCCGCTCCCAGGCTTGAATTGATTGTGGCTTTACAATATTCTTTTAAGTCTAATTAAGGCCAAGTTTCGTTGCTGCGCAAGCGGCGGCAGAGAGACGGCTATCTTTGTACTTATGTATATAAACATTTCCCCTTCTATGTGAGGAACGCGAGGGGTATGCACATGGGGTCCGGCAATTATGCCGACGCTAGCACTTTCTACTTTCTGCCTAAGCCATAGCGATCGGTTCATATTTCGGCCACTTGGGGCTTATGACCGGGACCATGAATTATGTAAACACTGCAACAAAGTGTTACAGTGCGTACCCTTTAAGAACTCGGTACAGTGGGTATTCAATATTAGTGCATACTACAAAAGCAACTAAATTATAGAGATGCCACCGCAGCTCGAGGTAGTTTTTTTACGACCCACGCCTACGACCATAATATTCATGTTATCGTTTGATCTTGTATAACAACTTTTGTCAATATCTATCTACATACTTGCTTATATCGAAACATTATTTCGCGATTATTTAAGAGACGTATGAAACAGTAAAGCACATTGTCAATTTCTGTTAATAATATAATTATTATATATCGTCTCATCTTTATACCCTCTATTCGTAGAGTAAAATGGTATATAAGATTCGTTGAAAAGTAAGTAACAGGTAAAAGGAAGCGTTGTCTGAAAGTCAATGTCTGTCAATGAAGTCGATGTCTGTCTGTCCGCCCAGCTGTCCGTATGAACACTGAGATCTCAGAAATGTGAGAAATACAAAGTTAAGATTAAGCATGAAGATTCTTGAGGTCCCTACGCTGCGTAAGTTTAATCGACTTAATAAATATTTTTTAATGTAGGTAATAATAGACAATAACGCCACCATGAGTTACTCAAAATGCCTTTTTAACAAAAGGTGGCGCTTTGTCCATTTTCACTAGCAAAATATTTTAGAATATTTTAAAATTGTGTTAAATAGTAAAGTTTCTTATAGTCGCGACTCGTAGAGTTATCAGGAACTATTAGAGCTAGGGATTAAGTAAGTATAAGTAAGTAAGAAAGGCTGATGTATAACTGATAGAAAGTTGGTATTAAGCATGTAGCTTCTAATAACGCCCCAATTGCATACCCACTCCCTAGCCTAGTAAGGCCTCACATGAAAAGTGACGTCACTATCAGTTACTCAACATGCTTCCTCTGACAATAGGTGGCACTTTGTGAATTTCCACTAGCAAAGTTAAGCTTGTAACCTGTTTTAAAAAATGTCACAATAACTTCCCGATTTGTCGGAAAGCTTCCGTCCACTGAGTTAACCTACGAGTACTGATTACCCAGTTAGAAATACATACTTTATTTAAGTAAGCAAAGATAATGATAAGAGCCAACCACAGAAGAAGACAACGCTGACAGGCTTAGTGCAGTTGCCAAGACATGAACCATGCGGTTGCCTTGCCGTTGCTCCAAAATTTGTTGTGTCTTCTTTGTAACTAGACTTTTTCAATTTTTTGCCCGCATGGCTTTACTTCCAGGACTAAGCTTTATTGACGAGAAGCTTTTTTATAGTTCCGTTTCTTTTGCAAAGTATTTCGTTAGAGAGAGAGCTTTTGGTAATCTGATTTCTGGCGGAAGCTTTATAAGGGGTAATACTGGTAATTTTTTACGGATAAAAGTTTGTTATTTGTTTATCATATCACCAATGTAAAACTAATGTAATAGGCAATGTTAATTGGCTTTTGATTTACTCTAATAGTATCTCACAAATAAATCTCTTAAATTTTGAGAAACATTTCGATGAAATTTAATAAATAAATTTAATTTAATGAATTAAAATATGTATGTACTAAGTATTGTATGATTTCAAATTTGTTTAAATATCCGTTGACAAATGGATAACAACAAAAATATTTCAGACCAAAAACAAGTCCAACAAAAATATTACTCTACCAGTAAAAAGTATATAAATCTTTAAAAGCTTTACTTTTTATACTTCACAATATATTGTTTTTAGATGTTACTTTCGTATGACAAACATATTATTTAGTTCACATCTTTCTTTAGCAAGTGCTATTAGCTCTGTCAGCTAAACTACATTACGGCCAGTCATTTGTTATCTATATCCTAGCTGAAATGAATTCAAGCCGGTTTAAACTTTGTTCGGGTATTTAAACAACAATTGCAGTTAGAGAAATGGCTAATGAAATAGTAGTTGAAAACCATCAAACATGGTTATCAATTTTCAACAGAAATGTTAGCATTCATAAATGTTATGATTTAACATACCTCAAACAGCGGCTGCTCTTTAAAAGTGTTGCATCACAAGATTTCCGTTACTCGACAGAACATTCGATTCATTCCAGACGTCGTTGCAACATTGTACTGGCAACATGGCTGTTGCCACCATGTTGTTGATAACGACCATACACATGTTATTGTATCTTCAGTCGGGCTCTCCACCTCGGCCGGAGAAGTGGAAACATTAAAGGGGCGGCTCATATCAAAATCTATCTATTAGGGGATGTATTTTTATTCGCCGCGACATCGCGTTCGAGTCCTTCGAGGCCGCCTTCGGTGAGAATGTCGTGCGAGGCTTCGGGATTTGGTGTTGCTAACGACGACGAAATAGTTAATGATATTATTTTAAATTTAAATTAATGCGTGTTTAATAAACTTCTATGAGTGTTTACAATCTTACCCTTATTGCTTACCAGAGTTACTGGTATAGTGCTGGCTGTCTGCCGCATGGTCCTTTAATTTAGTTATGTTGCCAATACGAAGACGTATTGCCAATCTCGGTGATCTATTATAATTTGCTTTACTGATTCCTGTTGACAACTAATGGTGAGTTATAAATTTGAACGTCGAAAATTAAATAAACCGAGAAATTAAATGACAATGGCTTGTTTTATTTTTATTGTCCTCATGTGATAGTATATTTATACAACCTAGTATGAAAAAAATGTCAACAGATCCTTCTTATCCTTTACATAACGAACATAACAGCGAAGGCACGCAAACGTTACAACAAATGTGTAACCTTTTATGACACTTATTTTAAAAACTGTAAGAAAAAACAATATACAATGACACCATTCGAGAAATGTGCTATAAAAACTATTTCCTATCAATATCTAAGTGTGTACGTAAATAGATATTTTCTTGATTAGGATCATTGGCCAAATCTCGGGAGCGCTAAGATCTAGATCATAAGATGGTAGCATATTTGTTTAAAAAAGAAATATTTTCTAGTTAAGATTAATGAATTGGCTTACAAATCTTTAAAAATCGATTAAATGTGTAAAATTTAATATGTTAAGTTTGATTTGCGCCAGCCAACAATATTATCGCTAAGCGAATAATTTTTTTCTTTTGATAGCATTATCACTAATAGTACAACAACAATAGTACAGCCACAAACAAACATTACAAAGTTTTTGAGACATATTATCCTGTTAGAAAGAAATTAATTTAAAACTATTCAGTATCTATTTTTACTTTATTTACTTTTTCCTCTATTAAGGATGGAAATAGCTTTTGTTCTTTTAACTGTAATACCCAGAAGAAAACAAATATATAAATTTTAAATTTTAATATGCATTAAAGAATAAAGTACAATTTAATCTTTTTTGACTAATTTACCAATATACTTTTTCTATTCTAGGGCAAGATTGTATACAAAAATGGAATTAATATGAAGTGTTTTAAAAACCTTTAAAAACATCCAAAAGCTTAAAAAATTCTTGCTTACAAAATGTTTGGGCGAGGTATTTAGAAAGTGCCAACCGACAGTTAAGTATAGTGATATCCATTATCCACCAACATTCCATACCATTCTGAAGTGATGGCTTTCATTCATTATTTGGGCTTAGGATGCCTACTTGCTACGACTGTGGCCTTGAGCACCGATATTGCAAGAGATAGTAACTCTGGCTTTGCCGGCGGGTCAACATTAAATAATGGTAAATAAGAGTAAGCAAGCATCATTTCCTATATGAAAATCATTTCCAAATTAAAAACTTTTATATTCCTTTTACTAAGTAAGAAACCAAAAATATTTATCAGCGTAAATACAAGATAAGAATGTTTTCTCTTCCTTTCTTATTTTTTTTTCTATTTCGGCTGAACCAATTTTCACATCCACTGGACAGGCTTGATTGACCTTTCGAATAATTAAGCCTTTATATTACTAGTATTACTCGTTATTCGTGAATCAAAAGGGTATAATGAATTCGTTGAAATATATTAAACATGTGTAAGAAAGCGTTTCTGACCTCATTGAGTATATATGTACATACATATGCATATTACTAGCGCGCCTGACTCGCTTCGCTCGGCACGCTTGCCTTTCAATGAGAACGGCGGTCGTCGCGCTGCGCGCTCCGCTTCTCAAGCTTGACATGGTCTTCTAAGGTTTATGTACCATGCGCAGACAAAATAAAATAAATAAAATAATTTTCATTCAGAGTTCTATTCAACATTTATTAAAGTGCTTTGGGATATACAATGTTTCTTGTAAAATATAATACCAAAAAATAAAAAACCACTGTAAAACACCGCCCAAATTCGGACCAGCCGGCGGCAGAATAAAAAAAATATTAACTAAAATTAAATCACAGCTACTAATGAAGAAAGTCCCAATAATTTTAGACTTATGATATGTATTCATGTACGCATCTGCAATAAATGGTAAACAATTTTCCAGTCTTATTGTAAGTGCCTACAAATGAAACTTTTTGTTCATTCTTTGGAACCTCTCCCTTCGGTGTCCACCCGCAGTATCTATACATATAAAAATGACATGAATGAATTTATATAAATTCTTACGTAAATCACCTTTAAAAACAAAATTTTTGATTTAACTATTTAAAAAGGGTGCCAGCTTAATTTCTAGAGAGTAGCCACATACTCACTTAGCTGTTAAGAGCTACAGCTGCCAACTATAAATGATCAGAGCTGCCAACTTTACTCAATTACTTAATTACCAAATTTTCAATCAAATTTCCTAATTTTAAATTTTGACGAATTTCTTTGTTTATGATTTCTAAACCCGTCCTGAGCCCCTTAGAACACGTACAAAAAATTTTATCAAAATCGGTCCATCCGTTTACGATTCTATAGAGGACATACATACAAGGTTACTTACATATAATATTTTATATAATATATAATGAAATGCTTGGACAACTCGTATGTTTAAAAAAAATTTTTTTATTTTTATAAAACCGAATTATTACAAGATTCTTAGGATGAAGAACACCGACTCGAAGAGTTTCGTGTCTTGAACTGAACTTCACTGGGTTGAGTTAAACAGTAGTACCGTTAGCTATTAAGTAATATATTAGGTTGTCAAAGAAGTTTTGCGGTACTTTCGCTAGTTGGCGCTGAAAGCGCGTAGTTCTGTTTATTCGTCGCATCAGGTCATACTATACATATTTGGAAAGCTCATTTCACGCGCTAACACGTGTTTGATTGTCTTTTCTTTTAAGTCGTTCGTGAGTTATAGCGTCGCAATCAAGGAGCAAAATAAAGAGAAAATACGGCATATTTTACAGTAATACTACGATAAAGGTCGAAAGAGACCGGCATAGTAGCAGCCGTAGCATCGGTCAAGAGCTGGGCATGATCCTAAATCGCAACAAAATCCACCCGTTTTTGAAGAGTATGGTGACTGGCGATGAAAAAAGGGTCACTTACGATAACGTAAGACGCAAACAGTCATGGTCGAAAAGCGGTGAAGCGGCCCAGATGGTGGCCAAGCCTGGCATGACGGCCAGGAAGGTTCTTCTGTGTTTGGTGGGATTGGCAGGGAATAATCCCCTATGGCCAAACGCTCAATTCGGACGTGTACTGCCAACAACTGGACCACTTGTAGACAGCACTCATGCAGAAGAGGCCATCTTTGATCAACAGAGGTCGAATTGTCTTCCACCAGGAAAACGCCAGGCCACACAAATCTTTAGTGACGCGCCAGAAGCTCCGGGAGCTCTGATGGGAGGTTCTTTTGTATCCACCGTATAATCCGGATCTCGCACCAAGTGATTACCACCTGTTTCTGTCCATGGCGAACGCGCTTGGTAGTCTGAAGCTGGCCACAAAAGAGTCCTGTGAAAATTGTCTCTCCGAGTTTTTTGCCAATAGGGAAGCGAGCTTCTATGAGAGGGGCATTAGGAAGTTGGCATCTTGTTGGGAACGCGTCATCGAACAAAACGGCGCATATTTGACTTAAATCGCATTATTGTAATCAATTTTATGAACAATTGAAAAATTGAAGTTCAATAAAAATACCGCAAGACTTTTTTTTGACAACCTAATATTAACTGGGGTTGAACGCGTACCGATGATAACTGTTCTTGAGCGTGAACTGTCTTAAACTGTATACTGATATAAACTGATTTTATCTTAAATCTTAATTTATTATGAAGCCTTGGTCTTGGGCTTTTACAATTATCATGTTCTCTGAGAGAACTTTCTTATATCTAAGCTTAATTCTCTTTCTATTCTCTTGAATACAGGATTTCTCTTTTTGAGTGTCCGTAACAGGGCTCTTACTTTAACCTTGATCGGCTATAGAAAATTTCGGTATGAATGTTTAGTCTAAGAGTCTTGGTAAAAAGACTCTTTTGTTTTTCAGTCGCAGTGTGGGAAAAGAATTTAGGCCTGCGATCTGTCTGTGTTTAGATAAAAGTCTAAGGTATTTAGATAAAGGTCTGGGAAAGTTTACCCTATCATTTTCTATGGTCGATTAAGTTTATATAGAAAAGTATCTATATCTTACTTATGACTAAAGTGGAGGTGACGAGGTTATTATAGATATATCACTATATAGATATATCGGGATCCATTGCCAGCCTCTGTCCATCTGTCTGCCGTACGTCTTTCTGTCTGTATGAACGCTGAGATCTCTGAAACTTTAAGAAATAGAAAATAGGGATTAAATATTCAGATTATTGAAATCCATTTGCAGTGCAAGTGTATTCCTTAAATATGACCTTGTAAAATATAAATTGTATCTATCGATTTACCAATATATGTTCAAATCAGAGTACTATTTCACAATATATTCAAAATGTTCATAGGATTTAAGCACTCCATGGTCAGTGACGTTACTACCACTTTATAAATATGTTCCATGTTGGGAATTTGGTAGCAATTGGTGGAACTAGTAAAATTTTGGGCGGAGTAGGTTTCCGTTAAGAAAATTCTAAAATTGATTTGTACAGTAACGGGATATCTCATAATATGACCAAATGACCGAAAACACATTTAATGTAAATAAAAAAATGTAATACTTATACTCTACAGTTCCCCTTCTAGTGTTAAGGGTAAGTATAAAATGTGTACTTAAATATGAATTTTAAAAGCAATGTAAACTTAAAATTGTATAGCTTTTAAATATTTAGCCTGTCTATAAGCGAAGCGCTCAATACTAATTTAAATTGTTAGTCCTCGTTATTGTGAACTAAACCATTACGAGTCAAAGACTGCTTTTCATTTTATAAAAAGAAATGTTTTTATGTTTAATGTTAGTGATGTACTCGTAAAAAGCCTCTTATTATTCCAATCAGCAATAATCATTACTTTTTTCAGAGCTATTATATTTTATTGATTTTAGTAAAAAGGACCTATAAGAAAAAAATTATCGAAGCTGTTCAATGACCCGCACTACATTTTTCTATTAACAAGCTGTTTGCATACTAGTCTTCACCGCATCAAAAAAGTAAAAACTTCAGCACCATATTGAACAGTTTGACACGTCGGTTTCAGCTCTTTAAAAAGCGAAAGGTGTGCTTGAGTTTTTAATGTTTCTGGCACGTTTTTAATAAGGTGTGTTTCCCCAAAACTTTGTTTTGATTCTTGCTGCCTTTTTTGTCTGCGTTTGACAATGCGTATTGTTCGCTTAATTAAATAAGGTGGTTACCGAAAGACTTGACAATACCTCTCCTGTGCAAGACAGGAAGTCAGCCTATTTTCCAAGAAAAACGTTTTCCATTGGGACCGTCAAATGAGCTCTAGGAATTAAAAGGATGCCAGTAACAAAATGCTCAAGATCTTTTTATAAACAAATGCATGTGAAGAGGATTTTTAAGAATAAAGTTGGCAAAACGGTCATTCAAAATAAATCTTCTTTTATTAAAATTGAAATTTTCATTTCAGTTTGAAATTATTTATAAATATTAATTTTAGCGTGCAAACGATGAGGTCTCAGAAGGATAAGTTTTTAATGGCTACTTGAAAAATTAATGTTATGACAAAAACGACGAATAGATAGATATAACTGTGGGGCGTGACTACCAAAGTCAAGACCAAGGCAAATAAGAATTGTTTCAGGATAAATAATGGTTAATGGGTAAATATTCGTCAAATGCGATTTAAGCCTTTAAAATTATATACTAAAAAATGAAATAACTAAAAAAAATAAGAAGATACCTTAATATCGTTATACTATCCACAGTTTAACTAGTTTCAAACTAAATATAGAGGCTTTATATATATTATATATATATATCGAAGTATTCGTCTTTGCAGGGGCAAGGTTCGGATGGTACAAGTTACTTATCAACAATATAAATTCGAAAATTGAGCGTGCTAGCGATGAACTAAAGGGAAAACAGCAAAAAAAAATTTGAATGTGGCCAAGGATAGAAGCGCGAGTAGGTAACAGAAACGTGTTCAGATTAATAAGGCTTTGTCAAGTTTCATTATTCAATATTAACAAGGTATAATAGTCGAGATCAAACAAATTATTTACAAAAATAAAATTAACAAAAAAATGTAATAAAAATAGTTAACATTTATAAGTTGTATTATTAATGTAATGGTTACATGGTAAAATAATATATAAAGAAAGAAAGACATTCTAAAACTATATAGTCGAGTGCCGCGGCTATAAGATACCCGTTACTGTTTTACACAATTTTAAAATATTAATTTTGCGAGAGGAAGCGTGTTGAGTAACTGA